AATGTCTCCCTTCAACCAGTTCATGATATTGCGCGACCTTTTACCATTGTCTTCAGTGAGTAACTGCCTCAAAACAAACACGACTGAACTCATTTGATCATGGCTTCTCACTAGATCTCCATGATATCCATCTTAAAGCCAGTCGCTAGTGAGTACATGATTAAGAGTTTCAGACTTGAACAAAACGGCTATCTAGTACTTCTAAGTTTTCACTGGTTGTCTAGCTTAAATCAACTCATGAATTCAACTATTTAATATGAACAATTGTTAAGCATTATAAATTATTGGATTAGTATTAACTATTCACTATATTGAATTGATATCTACTGTAATGTGCATTTGTTTCCTACCTACAACTGTCTATTCCATGTCATCTAATTCCTTTCATCTGAAAAAATAATCTGTTATTCATAATAGTCTGTGTAAAGAATTTATGTATTTAGTGAATACAAACAATATCATCATTCCAAGGGTATATATATATATTGATCCGTTGAACGAAATCAAATCTTGTTATTGGCCAATTTTTTATCAGAATTTAACAATTGATCAGTCTCTTGTTAGTATATGTGTATCCTATGCGAACTGCCTCGATATTACTTTAAGTCACATATATTATAAGCATGGATGGAAAGCAGCTGGCAGTAGAATCTAGGACGCGCGGTTCTTCCTATTTGGGACTCGTCACTTGGATATACCTGCATCTCAGAGTTGATATTCACTCAATAGCTAAGTGGATAACGTGATGGCGTTTGAAACGAATGGTACTGGTTTCGAGTCCCGGAGTAAACATCAACTCAGAGATGTAGGTACATCCACCTGACGCATCCCGAGTAGGACGAAACGCACATGCACTGTACGCCTCAACATCTTCAGGCACTGGTTACGATGAACATGCGGACCAAACATGGTCCAGTCTAATAGTTAACAATTTCATAAACTGATGCCATATCTTACTTTTTTCCAACTTAATTCTACACTAGCTAACATCGACAGTTGTGTTAAACACTGGTTACAAATGCGTAACACATGTCCCTACCATGTTAGTCGATGGATACCCATCACTCCCTAATCTACCGATTTGTCATTGTGGTTTAGTACCTTATGTTTAAACTCAACATTGCTCATTCAATCATCCCATAAGAAATAAGAAATATTTTTAATTTACCTATAGTCGGTAACCTGTAGCCTATCCGTAACTTTTACTTCCATTGACTAAGTTTAATAGGGATAAAGTAATGCAGAGAGGATAATCATTCCTATTTATCAAGATTTATATTTTTCCGTTTTTGACATACTCATTGCTGAATATGATCAGATGTTGTCAGGGTTACAACCTCTTTGGTCGAAAATATCTTGATATTCTTCATTAGTTACAAGTTATTTCATGTTTCTTATTATTATTTCTATTAGTATACATTAGCGACTAGGCTCAGAGCAAAATAAACCCTAAGCTACTCATTCATTCGACTACAAACAACACTATCTTACTTTTATTTACTAATCATTTCGTTAATTCCCAACCTTTCACTTTCTTCGATTTGAGTTCCACTTCTTCACACACACACACACACACATACTCAAATCCAATCTAGCCAAGTATTGATCATTTCAAAAATAGAAAGTCAAGTACGCCACTAAAGGCAAGTTTTAAATGGTATATTAAAACTTTTGTATAACGGTACAATACATTATAATTTCCCTTGGGAACTACAAAATTAGTACTAATATATAGGCGGGGGTGGGGTGGGAAGTTTAAGCAGAAAGTTACACTGATTCAGTAGAACGTTCAATTGGCCAAATGTTCAATCATGTGTGTGTGTGTGTAGGTATATGCATAGGCTTATGTATTAAAAACTTTTGTAGTAAAATATTAATTCTTTTTGAAGATAACCAAAGTCAATTTAAAACTTGAAGTGAATTACTTTTTAGTAAAAGCTTGAATTTTGAATCATATTAGCTGTAATAATGAACACATTGCAGTACATTTTTCTTAATAATCAGAACCGATAAGTCCTCCTGGGTTTAAATCCCGCGGGTGGGATTGTTGATGTTAACTGTTGAGAAATTTCATAATAGGACAAAACAACCGTCCGATGTCTCCAGATTTTCCATGGTGGTCTATCTTTAATTGACTCATGAATTCAACCATATAATTATGATCTTGATTAGATCAAGTCTTATTCGATAAGTAATGTGATTCAATTCGAATTGTTATCACCTTTCAATTAAATTCAGTTACAATTTACACATCTAAAACAGTTGCTCAACAAACGATGCAGGATAATAAGATCCAGATTGTCTAGAAAGCTTTGAGTGACTTATGAGAAATAATAATCTAAATTACACATTCATTGAGGTCATAAATTGATCAATGTAAGACAACCATTGGAAACCTGGATAGTTATTTCGTTCTAGTATGGGGCTTCTCAGGTGTAAGCATTCACAATCTCTCACATGGGACTCGAACCCAGGACCGTCAGTCTCGTGTGAGAATTCTTAACCTCTAGATCATTTAGCCACCATCTAACAGTGTTAATATCTCACTTCAAACAATCCACGCTATTACGCGACCATCTTAAATTGTCTTCGTTAAGTAACTGTCTCACACTCGAACACAGATGAACTCAATTGATCACAGCTTCTCACGAGAACTCTAAAAAGTACTTCTCAAAGCTAGCCACTAATCAGCACATGACAATTATTTCACTGCTGTATTTAAGTTATAAATACCGTAAATAGATAAATGTAAATAAACTTTGTATTCATTAATTTGATCGTTTTTAACTACTACCACTGTGATGTGAGCTACTTATATCCACATAAGTAGTATATAACGATGGTCGGGAATAGAATGTATTTCAGTAGAAGATCGAGAAGGAAAGAATGGGAGTAGAAAGCAATTGATATGACAATTCAGAAACAATGAAATCTGATACAACTCACTAATATTTGCAAAAGAAACCATCAAGTTTGAGACAATGGATCGATATATTGCAAATGAAGTATTTACTGTATGATTCTAAGATTTAAGTGAGATGTTCTGTAATTTCATGTTCGACTACATTCAATTGTTCCCACTTGTTTTCTTGTTCATTACACTAATTAATGTATATCTAACCGATTTATTGAAGTCTTCTACATACATAGACAACCTTCATCTTGAAGAAGATCAAATCTATCAATGTTCATAACGAATTAGATGGAAATGATTGAAATCCACTGATTGATAAACATATCTCCACATAAAATCTAATGTTTAAACAGCTGATATATACATATATATTCAAACACTGTATGTCTATTGAAATAAGACAGAGGCAATGTAATAAGTATATAGTGTATGCTACTTATTTGTCTACGCAAAATACTTCGGATCCGTTGGCCGGACACTATTAGCAACAACCAACTGTGGGAAAGAACAAACCAGATCCCAGTGGAGGAATAAATCAGGAAGAAGCACTGGAAGTGGATAGGACATACATTGAGGAATGCACCGAACTGCGTCACAAGGCAAGCTCTCACATGGAATGTTCAAGGCCAAAGGACAAGAGGAAGACCAAAGAACACATTACGCCGAGAAATGGAGATAGACATGAGAAAAATGAACAAGAACTGGATGGAACTAGAAAAGTAGGCCTAGGACTGAGTATGCTGGAGAATTCTGGTCGGCAGCCTATGCTCCATTAAGAGTAACAGGCGTAAGATAGATAGATAGTATACTACTTATATCTACATAAGTAGTATATAACATTAATCAGAAGTGGAATATTTAGCCACAGAATATATTGGAAAGAGAGAATCGAGGAGAACGGAAACAAAGAGTAATTATTATTATGGTAATGAAAAAAGGATGAATGTTGAGACAATTGTAAGAGGATTTCGAAATGATGTATTGAACGTATGGTGTTTACATTTGATGAAAGAACTCTATAATTTTGTATTTAGATACTATTGGTTACCCGCATCTGTATATTTGTTTATTACATGTACATATATACCATTTCGAGTGGTTCACAGTTATATCATCTAAAGTCTCAGACCACTGTTTTTAATTATCCTACTGATCTTAAACTAGATAGCTTAGATCTGTCTGTATAACTTAGATTCACAGTGAATAGCTTTTTGAACTGATGGTTATCTCTAGCTTGTTCACAAAAATTAATGTCATTATGTATATGATTTCATAGAAAAAAGTTTAACCATACAAATATATATTTATATTTTAATAGTTGAATTCATGAGTCAATTAGAGATAGACCACTATGAAAAACGTAAAAAATACTGAACGGCCATTTCGTCCCAATATTATAATCCTCATCAGTGCACATCTACGATCCCGCCTCACACGATTCGAACCCAGGAGTTATTGGTCTCACACACAAACTTTCAGCCTCTAAACCACTAAGCTGGTCGGCATCCAACCACGTTAATATCTAAATTCATCGATACATATACATATATATTTTAATAGTTGAGTTCATGAGTCAATTAAAAATAGACCACTATGGAAAACACGGAAGTACTGAACAACCGTTTCGTCCCAGCACTAGATTCCTCATTGGTATGCATTCACGACCACACAAGCGGGACTCGAACTTAGGACCCTTCATTCTTACGCGCCTACGCTCAACCTCTAGGCCACTGAGCTGACTGACACACAACAGTGCTGGTGTCTAACTTCAATCAATCCATATATATATATATATATATATATATATATATATATATATATATATATATATATATATATATATATATAGTAATAGTTAAATTCATGAGTCAATTAAAGCTAGGCCACTATGTTAAACCTGGAAGCATTGAACAGTCATTTCATTCCTAGTATGGTTCTCTTCATCAGTGCACATCCACGATCCTGTCCGCTGGATTCGAACCCAGAACCTGTTGGTCTCGCACACAAACCACTAACCTTAACCGGTATTCATTTATGTTTTTATCTTTCTTTCTGTTTATTCTTCTTCTTCTTCTTCTTCTTATAGATTTCACGTCATTTAAATAAAACCAATTATCATCATATAGAAAAACTTGCTTTTGGTATTAAATTTAATTATCAAAGTTATTTAATTATTAATTCATCTTATACATCACATATGATTGATTTATATATCACATTACCAAATCATTTCCCTAATATGAATTCCATTGAATTAATACCTGGTTATATAAATCATATTAAATTAGAAATGTTACGTATAAAACGTATCAAACACCACTATTACCACCACCATCGTCATCATCATCACGAGCACCATCACGAACATCAACACCAACATCAATCATTATGTAATGAGAACAAATTTTCAACAATCATCTATGATGGTGATTTAATTAATAAACGTTTAATCTATGGTTCCAATGAATTATGCCATCGTATATTATCACAATATTTATATTTAAATGAATGTCATTGTTATAGTCCTTTCTTACCTTATGGTTACTATGGTAACATACCCATCATTAATAATCATAATAAAACAATGGAATATCATCATCCAGCTTTATGTTTAAATATGTCATTATATAATAAGAATCAATTAATTGATAATGTGAATTGTATGTATCGTGTCTATCAAAAATACAATAATCTTAGTTTATATATGAATTTAATTGAAGCGAAACAATGTGATCTGTTACATCATTTACCATATTGTGACCATGTTTATTATCAAAATTTTGGTATACATCGTATTATTATGAATGAATTATGGAGTAATACATATAATGATGCAAGAGCCACATTTTTAATTCGTACATTTCGTGATGTATTTATTAACAATACTACTACTACTTATAATAATACTACTGATAATACTACTTATAATAATGAGAAATTAACAACTCAACAAATTTTATTAGAAATGCGTAATAATTTTGGTTTATTAATTATAGAACGTAATAGACCACAAGGTAAATTAGTACGTGAAGAACAAGAATATTCATTAGCACAATTATTATCGGATATTGGTGGTAATATGGGTCTATGGATTGGGATCTCTGTTATTGGTTTATTTGAATTTATTGAATTAATTAGTTTTATATTATATACATTATGTAATTATATCATTCATTTATGTAGAAAAAATTGAGAAGATACAAAAAAAAACACAAGCATTTCTTTCTTTTTACTTGATTGAGATCTAGAAGTGTTAGATGGCTGTTTCGTCCAACTGTGAGACTCCTCAGAAGTGTGTATTTATGATTTCGCCTTGCGAGATTTGAATCTAGCCCCTATTGGTCGTAAACTAGCGCTTAACCTCTAAACCACTGATAGATAAATATGTGGATAGATAGATAATGTTATATCTAGAGCTTAGATATACCGCATATAACTTGAGCACTCGGACGCTGGAACTCTCCCAAGGAGCAAATGAAAAGACAGAAGACATGTAAAAGGAATGCTATTCCAAACAGTGTCAATTATGATACAAAACTGTTAGGTATTTATAGTTTTTAGTGAAAACGAAATCATCATTATAGTTAACCAATCCGCATAAGCATTTGTACAATAGGGAAGCTACACGTAGTGATTCTGAAATATTCTTCCAAAAGATGATTGGATTGAATATATTCGGCTCTTTCTGAGCTTCTTAGAGCTTCCTCAAGTTCATCCGTGGACTGTCCTCACATACCTGTCGCTACTTGACACAGATTAACTCCATTGGTCACGGCTTCTCACTAGAACTCTGAGAATTCTCTCACGAAGCTAGTCACTAGTGAGCACATGGTAATCACTAGTATATGGTTGTGGAGATTATTAAATTTTTGATTGAGATCATGAATCAATCGATGTTAGATCTGGAATTATTGGATGGCTGTTTCGTCCAGTCGTAGGACTCCTCAGAAATGCGTATTCATAATCCTACCTCCCAAGATTCGAGCCTAGAACCTATCCGTCTCACGCACAAATGTTCAACCTCTAGACCACTCAGCTGGTCGGCATCCAACGGTGTTAATAACAACACTATTACATAATCAGGATTTTTTTGTTTATTTTAAACGAGACCCTGAATAATTGATCACATAGTGTCATTGTTTACAGTTGGTAATTTGACAACCTATTGCATTCTTTTTAACATGTTGACATATATGCATAGGTATATAAGGAATGTATATGTATGTTTAAGTGTGTATGTGTATGTATGTAGTGCAAATGTATGTATGTGCGTGCGTACGTATATATTTGTTAATGATAGATAGACTAAGGAATTTTATTACTTATAATCAATACATTGTAAATCACTAAATGATCACTAAATATTCCCTAATCATCATCTTTGTTATGAAAGAGGGAACAAATTAAGAACTTTCGTCTGAATTTGATTGAATAGTTTCACAGTATTTGAGGGTCGAGTTAATGTGATACATTGAAAAGAAAGAATGTACTTGTTTTTGATGAAGTTTTGTTCTATGAACTGAATGGTTTGGTCATTATCAGCACAAAATTCAAGTACCTGATGATATCGTTTAGAAGAATGATGAAAGTTCCACGAATAAACCATCCAGATAGAAGAACAAAACTTTATCAAAATCATCCACCTGAGCTATAAATCTTCTCTACTAGTCAATCAGTCAGCTATTATGTAGGACCAGGCACATATGTGCATCGCTCCAAGTTGCCATACCTAGTTAGCACAACTACACGAACACCAGATTCATAGAGGTAGTTACTTCAACGGTAGTAATATATAAAAGAAAGATTTCATAGTGTGGGATCGTGAATGCGCACTGCTGAGGAGTCCCATACCAGGACGAAACGGCCGTCCAGTGCTTCCAGGTCTTCAATGGTGGTCTAGCTTCAAATGACTCATGATTTCAACCTGTGAAATTTCTAAAACTCTCCACAAAACCCATTCTGATTATAACCTTTTTATTTTACATAGTTTATCTCATCTGTTTAGTTTGATAAATTTATGCATAAATAAATGAGTGGGAATTATGTCACTGTTCACAAATGATTGATTATTGGGTAATGATCAATGTCATATTCATCAGGTCTTTCTTAGTGCAGATCGACGTCAGTGATAGCCTGGATAGCTCAGTGATGATAAGATCTTTGACTGTGAAGCTGGGTGACACGGGATCGGATCCGTTAGGAAGTATCAGTTTCCTCAAGATTACAGGTACACCTTGCTGAAGAGTGCCAAATAGCATAAAATCCAGGTCCCAGGTTTCCTATTGACTACCTCCAACCATTATCTTATTATATCAGAGTTTTTTTTCAGTATGGAATAACAGATTGGTTGTCCCTACCTAAGTTCTCATTCAATACAGGTTATTGAAATTAGTTTTAGAATTCGCTAGATTTTAAAAACTGAACTAGGTTAAATTAGGACACTTTCTTAGTGGTATACGAGGCGAAAACGTGGAGAACTGCGAAAGCAATCATCCAGAAGATTAAAGCGTTTATTAATAGCTATCTACGCAAAATACTTCAGGTCTGCAGGCCAGACACTATCAGCAACAACTTACTGTGGGAGAGAACAAACCAGATCTCAGTGGAGGAATAAATCAGGAAGAAGCACTGGAAGTGGATAAGACACACATTGAGGAAGGCACCGAACTGCGTCACAAGGCAAGCTCTCACATGGAATGTTCAAGGCCAAAGAACAAGAGGAAGACCAAAGAACACATTACGCCGAGAAATGGAGATAGACATGAGAAAAATGAACAAGAATTGGATGGAACTAGAAAAGAATGTCGAGGACAGATTGGGTTGGAGAATGCTGGTCGGCAGCCTATGGGAATAACGGGCGTATGTAAAGTAAGTAAGTAAACCGAGTAGTGTACAATAATAATCTTATGTGATATAATTGTAATCAAGGTTTTACTCATTGTTTTCATGATAAAGACGTCACCATTGATTGTTTAGTTGAAATGAACTGGAAAAGACCTCGTAAGTTCAATATGTCATTGATAGGGGATATTCTTCATTATTGATTTGTTTTTTTTTAAGGATAGAATGGAGAATACCTAATTCTGAGAAGTCATTTAATCATTTCCTAACGATGATCTCAATCAGGTAGTTTAGAGAGATTATTTACAACTTCAAGTTAGGTTTTACCATTACTGGGCAATGAATAGCACTGAACAGATTGAAACACCTCAGTGATATTTAGTCAAGAATTTATATTTGTACAAACAAACAGTAATCTTTCAGTATATTTCTGACTATTATCAAATCAGGATATGGATATTATTGTTGTGAGAACAAAGTGAAAATTGACTTGTAACAGAACCTAGAATCTTCGAATTGGTGTGCGAAAATTTATCCGCTCGACTAGTGAGTCTATATACAATGTTGTAAAAGTCTAACTTCAGTCAATCTGACTATGTACTAATGTTCACGGTGTGTACCATCCTCACATCCGACAGTGTTCCTACATTCCAGTGTTGATGTTCACATTTGAACTTGAAACCAATACTTTTCACTACAAATATCTACAAATTATCCACTGAGCTAATTAACCAATATAGCTAACAGACTGTGAAACAAAAATTATAATACAAACCCCGAAATATAAAATTCACACACGTAGCACAATCTGATGACTGTCTTGATCCAGAATCTCAGTAGGTAATGTATCATTATTTAAAGAAAGAGACACTGGGTTCTAACCTCAATCTGAAAAAATCGACACCGGTTTCAGTGCATTTAGGTGACGAGTCTCAAATAAAATGAAACAAAAGTTTAAGTTCTGCTTATAGTCGTTATCCAACTTTAATAAAAATCTAGCTGAGTACAAAAGCTCACTGGAGTTTCACTAGGAATACAAATAAATGAATATTATCATAATCATGAGCTGATCAATGTAAGACCACCATTAAAAATCTGGGAGAATTGAACGGCCATTTCACCCTAGTTTTTGGGGCACTTCAGCAGTCTGCACCAAAGACCCCCCACCCTGGATCCAAACCCAACATCTTCGGTCATGTATGTGGACGCTAAACCTTTAGGTTACTGAGCCGGCATCCAAAAATGTAAATGTCTAACTTTGTAGATCCAGTTAGATTTCGGTTCAGATACTCTGAAACTCACCTCTTAGTCAGTACCAAAACATTATTTCAGTAAAAATTTCCAGGAACACATTCTTAACATTATAATCTCTATGAATTTCTCAAAAGTTTAAACTACGTAAGTGTTTAAATGAGATTCATAAATTCAGAGTTAAAATATTAAGGTAACAAAGTATATTTTAGTAGAACGCAAGTCACCAGTTCATTAGAAAATAAAGTCATAAAATATAAACTACTCATAAGTAATCAACAGTTCGTTTGAAAAACGATTTTTTGGACAATGTGATAATATAATCACATTTGTTAAATATTGTCTCAATATTTCATTAATTCAATGGGAATTACGTTTCATTAAAGCATACTTTAAGAAAAGACAGATAGTAACTATAGACAGAATATAGTAGGGGGACTTAAACTTGGTTAAGATAACGCATTACGGATTTGAAGAAAAAGTTATTGAATCTGAGTCTGAATGTAGTTACCAACACGGGTACAGGTACGTGCAGCTGATGAGTCTCAGATAGGATGAAACTCACTCCTTGAATTTTATTGCTAGGGATTATCCAACCTTATTGAAAACTTGTGTATAAATAGAAATATTGAGGGAATCCGCCCAGTATGCATATATTCTATAAGTGATTGGTCAGACAGAATTCTTAATATATCAACGGAAAGATACAACTACTTATAATTTATAAGCTTTTCGATTGGTAAAAAGGACTACAAACAACGAACCACTTAACAACTATTGTTTTATGTTTCCTTACTGTCTATCTAAATAAATAAACGTTTTAGTACGTGGAATTTGTAATAATTGTAGTATTTTCAAAATTGACATCACAAACTGATCTTATCTTTACCACCACTGAATACCTGGAAGTATTAGATGGCAGTCTCACCATAGTATGGAACTCCTCAACAGTGTACACTCACGATGTCGCGCACAAACATTCAACCTCTAAACTATTCAGTCGGCATCGAACCAGTGGATTCCGCATGCAGGATCATGTATACACACTGCTGAAAAGTCTTGTAAGAGAAAAAACAGCCGTTGAGTGCTTCTAGCATTTTGATAG